CCGCGTAAGTTCCGGCTGAGTAAGTCACTGCCCAGCTATGTAAATCTGGTAGGGAGCTGTCTGTACATAAAGAGATTATCTCACATCCCTTCCTATGCAGTCCCTTCCTTCTAAAAGGGTCAAACAGCTAATATCAAATCTGTTCTGTTGCATGTCTGGGTCAGCATGCAAGATTCGGATTACAGCTCGTGAAGAGCAAAGCCAGCCAGCTGGTTGTCATTCCCCAGCTGTTTTTGCAGGTATTATAAACAAGGTTACATCAATCTCCTTGAGCAGTATGAAAACTTTTCCTCCTCATCTCTTAAAAGAGCACAGAGAGAGGAAAGAAAAGACCAGAAAGCAAGCTAGAAGGAAATGAAGTGCAAACACAATGAAAAAGCACAGATGATGTACAGATGCTGCAGGTGTTGATAACATCTCACACGGAGGAAGCAGGAAGGAATGAAGTGGTTGTTAGGGCCATCCTATTACTCATGCCTCTGGTGACATTACCCTGCAGTACAGGGAAGCTTCACTGCAACTGGTGTTACTATTCTTGGGAGGACTGAAAGTACAGTATGTACTGTGGATCCATACCCAGTACAAGGACTTGGGAGTGTCTCAGCCACACAAGTTAGAACAGCTCATTTACTTCCACCAAGAACCGTGTACTTCCTAAGAGCCATCAAGGTCACAGACAGCTTTGAGCTGCTCTGAAAGTACAATGATATCATCTTATATCTTCCATAAGAAAGATGTACTTCTGGATCAGTGTTACTAGCTCTTCTAAAGGCAGCCCAGCAGTTCGGAAGTGGGAAAAAATAGAAATAGCATTTGTTTTACTCACAAGAATAGGAGTAATGCTTGCTCTAGTTAACATTTGTTTTACAAGTCTGTATCTGTCATAAAGTGGCTTCACAATATGTCTTTCTTCTCTAGTAACCTAAAGGCAGAGAAACCACAGAATTAATTATACCAGTCACTCAATAATATACAAGCAAACACAAAGCGGTCTTGCTTCTCATGCCAGGCCACGTATCTGCCAATTAGGAACATAAAACTCATTTAAACTGCGTGTATGAAATGGGGTTTGTGCAGATAAAGGAAGAAGTTGGTGCTTTCTCCTCCTCTCTTTTCTCACTTTAACTCCCTGTATTGTTCAGGAAGAAGTTTTAAAGACTTCCTGAAAGTTAGAGGGGCTTCAGTAGAAGCAAACTATCTTTAAGGACCTGTGGAAAAGAGGCAAAAAAGGGACCAAGAGCTAGGGGGGGAAGGCTGTGTGCCTAGCAATGATGATGATTCTAGAGAAATGAGAGGGGGCGGAAAAGAAAGAGATGAAACCATAGAGAGATTTTCTCTGATATCTGCTTTACTCTCAATTCTTGGCCACCGTGTACTCTAACATAACGAGTATCAAAGGCTATCCTCAACAGTTACTGGCATTTTCTCCCTAAGGGGACTGTAGAAACAGTGCCAATACCCCAGGACCATTATTCTTCCTTGTTTTTAAGACTGAAAGGCTTGGTCACATTTATACAGCAGTGCTGATTATAAAGCTAGTGTGCCAAGTCCAGAAGGCTGATGGAATAGTAACTGGAAAGATCTTGTGATTGGACTAGTGATACTGATCCCTGTCCAAAATAAAACCCCCTAACTTCAGGCACTAATTGCTAGTCACTCCAACCTCCACACCTCTAATTATAGAGGATGCAAGCCACAGACTTGGGAGGAAGGGAAGCATCTTTTCATTTCTGGTTTTGTGAAATCCAGAATAACATTTCAAGCCTTTCCCCAGGAAATTCAATAGAGTCATATATTTGTACAATCTCTCTTTGCCTCACAGACATATAAGGCACCAAACGACACCAGTCACTTGTCAAACTCCAATAACCTCCTGATCTGTGGACCAAGGGCCTAATAAAACATACTTCTTTTTGGTTTGAAGTCCACACAATAAATTCCTCTGACAGCAATATGGAAACCAACAGATAACTGTGTTCTGGAGAAGACAAAAAACCCCACCCCCCCAGCATTAACTTCTAGTATTACTACTGCACAAGAGTTACTGCTCCCTATTAATAGAGCTTGATGAAGTAAAGCAAGAATTACCGGCCGCCCATGTTGACTTTCATAATACAGGAGGCTTTTCTGGAGAGATGTTTTCTCTTCTACCAAATGGTCCTTTGTCATTTTCTGTCAGAAGAATAATTCACATTTAATCCAACCCAAGTCACATTAACATCTACTTTATCAGCTATACGAATGTGTTAGCCAAAATTCAGCTAGCTGATACCATTCATCCCACCTTCATGCATTTAAAGCTGTTCAATATTGTCAGTGCATACTTATAAATATTTTAATAAAGAGTGAGCAGGGAAACTGTGGTTCATCATCATTTCCTCAGAGTGTGAAATACAAAGGCCTTGTAAAGGGCTGCTAGACACAGGCATCATTTTGTCGATAATGATATCTGAAGTGTCTGACAGTGCTCTGTTTCTGTCTGTTCTCTTAGAAACAGCCTATCCATAACCTCATGCTTACTTTTATATCTTCTGGCAAACATCTCTCAACTCGTTTTTCCTTTAATCTTTTCAAAATGAGTTCAAGTGTGGCTTCCTTGGTGGGCTTCTTCTCTTTCTGCACGACCTGCATCTCATCTCCATTTCCTTCATCCTCTTGGTCAAGAGAGGAACCAAAGCTTTTTGGAAGAGTGTTACTTCGTGGACGTGTTTGAGGTATGAATTCTCCATCTGAGCTCCTCTGCTTTGCATCTGAAATGAGAAAGATTGCTGAACCCAAAGGTTTAAAAGAAGTAACTCTCAGTTTGTTTGACTGCAACTAAAGAAACATAGTTTGCACAGGCAAAGTTTGTCTTCTAATGAAGTAAAACGGTTTGAGTTTTGAATAGTTTAGAACCTAGAAGTGAAGTATTTTTACTGTCCTGTGGAATTTTACTGAATAACTTTGCCATTTTAGACATGTATTTTATTTGTGTTTGTAAAGAAACAGAAGCTGTAGCATCCCTTACCTTTTATTTGCTTTCTCAATTTGGTAAGTTCAGTCATCCACTTTAAAACTTTTGGGTTGGCTGCAATATCACTATAGGAGGGCTGAAAAGTAACACAAACAACATTTTATTAAACAAACACATTACGTCTTGCTTCTTTCAAGATTTGGTAATATTTATGACAGGGAATGGGATAGTAACAGGGATGCCACTCTTAGCATCAGGTCAGATCTCAGTGCCAACAGAACAGCCAACACTTGTGAACATAAACTTGAGACAAGAGATCAGAAGTTGAACCAGAGAGTGGCAGCTTCTGTCTCTCCACTTATCTCATCTGATGCCCTCTCAGTCTCGCTGCATAATGTCACTGTCTGCCCTTCTTTGGGCTCAGGCGTTATAGCACGTTTTCTAGTACTGGTGCTGCTCAGTTCACTTTCAGACACAGCAAAGTGTAACAGAATCATTCTCATGTGTGACCTCACAGTTATTCGGTGATGAACCACAAGAAATATCTTGGCTCCACCATGCAGCCCTTTATCCTGACTAAAGGAGAAGTGGTAACTTACCTTACTGTTCTTCTCTTTTTCAAACTGTTCCTCAAACTGCTTTATTTTTTTCTGCAATTTCTTGACAAGCTGATAAGGTGTCTTGTCTTCCCTTTTGTCATCTTTTGAGCTAAAGGATGCTCTTCGTGTTCTGTATGAAAAACAGTTTTTAAGTGTCATTTAAATAATTAAACAAGTGCAAATAACTTGTGTATTTCAGTAACAGATGACTCATTTCTTATTTTTCTCCAGTTCATAATTCATTCTTTGCACATTTTCAGAAAGAGCTATTTACCTAGTGAATCAAAATGCTTTGATCTGCTGCCTTCAAAATGGGATGTGTTATTGTTTTCCTCTCTAATTTCTGTAATACCCCAACAGAAAAACAGCATTTGAAATTCAAGTGTAATAAATTAATATACCACTAATTACATTGTCATTAAAACAGTTCAGATCTTTCTGGTGGTTAGGCCACTTAGATAAGTTACTAGATACTCAGTAGTTGGGCACAGTTAAAGCTGAGGTTAGAAGCTACCACTGAACAGTTCTTGGTAATTCAACAGCTCCACTGTCTTAGGCAAGTTATTAGATACTCACCTAAAACACATCTACCTCATTTGCTGGCCTTACTAATGTATTTCTAAAGTATGTGATTCTAGTTTTAAATCACCTTTTGCACTTGTTCAGCTCCTTGATGCTGCTTGTGAAAAGCCTTTTTATTTCAACACTAACCATGAGGACTTTCTAGTGCACTTATTACACAAGGTGCCTGAAAGGATCCCTCAACCCAGATAGTGACATTTACGTAGTTCAAGATATTAGGAATACTAATCTAATAATCTACTAGTGCAGATCCTGATTAGTTTCAGAATGAGGAGTACAATCAGCACTTTTCTGCAGGTCAGTCTTGTGCATCATTTTAATAGTACTTGCCAACTATCTTCTGCAGCTAACTGGAGAAAACGTGGGTAAGTATCTTCTTGCATCAACAAATCTGTGTCAGACAGAATTGGAAACTCTAAACTTGGTCTTGCTTGCTCCTGATTTTCTCATTTTTATGAGATTATTTCTTCCCTAACAAGCACAGAAATTCCTCTTAAATTCCCTTTCACAGTAACAGTAATACACAGGTCACAGGTTATTTACAGTTGTGGAGGGTCACACTCCCAGCAGTGTCACACAAATAACTCGCAGCCTGATTAGTTACCACTCTACTGGGGTTGAACAGGCTTGATTCTCTAAATCTGCAGGAGAGAACCTGCGTGAAGAACTCTACCTCTGCCCTGACCACTACTGCACACTTCAGTTGCAATGGTTTGTGTAAGCTGGCTGTCTTACTGGGAGTGTACAACATGTTAGGCAAAACAAATCCAAAATGATACAACATGAAAACAGATATTCGTGCTACTGGGGGAAAAAAAGAGCTAAAACTTACACAAAATCATAGACCTGCAGTTCAGTAAAGACTGGTAAACAAAGGATATAAATACTATCTTCAGTGCAGGAAGTGCCATTACAGCCCAGACCAAATGCCAGGGAAATCTGTGCAAGCTCAGCCTATTTTACACTCTTTTCTTTCCCTCAGCATCTGCCAGTGGCCACTTTGAGAGACACGCTGCCATCCCAGATGAACCTCTGGTCTGACTCACTGTGGCAGTTTCTGGGCAGGCAGAACAGCCAAATGGCCCATACGATGCTGCATTTGACCTTGGTCTTCAATTAATTCATCTCATGAAAACCCACGATGATCTTAAACAGCTGTATTTTCATGCTTGTAGTAACACCTCCTGCCCCAAACACCCACCAAATTGCATTAAAATACAAACCTAACAAAAGAAAGTGCTTTGGATGATGAATCTAAGGTTTCTGGATCATGTAAGAAACGTTGGCTTTGCCCAAAATCCAGACTCCGATGTGACAGTATCGGGTGACAGTCCTCTTCCAAAGGATGATTAGTCATCCTTCCAGCCTGCGGGGAAAGCTGAGCTTCTCCAGATTCACTGTCCTCCTGCCAAGACTTGAAAGCAGGAAACGGATCTAGAAGATAAAAGAGGGACACAAAATGGTACTTGTCTGTTAACAGAATTATAAACGAAGAGTCTAAAGGAAACAAAACTGCGTACCCACTGCTTAGTCTTGTATGCTATAAAGGCTGTGGTGTCATACACAAAGTGGATATAAGCACTGAAATACTACAGATTCTGTCAAGTAACAACTGAGAGAAAAAGGGTACTGCAATGGAGTATGCACACTAGGATCCCTTTTTCAAAGTGTATCTTGGAAGTATGCATTTCTGAACAGTTCAGCAGTGAGAGAGCCTTATTCACGTATCAGAAATCCAAAGTTAGAAGGATGTATTTATTGTCCATTGTGATATTTTGCTGGGGAAATGGATTTTTATACCTTACACATGTACTTTGGAAGATTGTCCTCTTGGATTTGAAGCAGATAAGCCTGACAATAACTCTTTAGGTATGATACCCATTTGCTTAAGTCTTCTCAAAGAAGTGTTGTTTTTAAGTTTAAATGCATCTTGACGCCACTGAGAAAAAGAGATTTCTTAATTTGTGGAAGGTGATTTTTTAGGCAGGGGATTCCAAAACAACCAAATCTTTTAAATTCCTATATAGAGCTGCTAACAACCTTTACAATTCTAAGATATGGTTTTCTTGCTCTCTAACAAGAAGCTGACGTAGCTTTCCAAGCACTTGAATTCACAATCCCACCCCCCCTTTTCCTTTCAAAGAGTTGCCTGTATTTCCCAGTTCAGATCAGAAATTTGAAAACTGGGTTCAAAGTGTGCAGAACAACAATAAAACCCACAAAATAACCTTTAAAAGAAGATAACCCTTGTACCTGCTTTCCACTGTACATTTACTAAGTATTATTGGGGTTTCTTTGTTTTGTTTTCAAGCTGGGATCTTGCCTGTTTACACAGAACAAGATACAAGAAGGGGACTGTTTAGAAGCAAGCAAAACAACTGGAGATCAGAATATTCCCAAGATATAAGGGACAGCAGGTGAAGGGTTAGTTAGAAAGCAAACCATAAACTATCAAAAGGCAGATAACTGAATGTATGGCGAACCATACTTACCCTCCCCTTCTCTCTGCAGATGCATTGTTTTGAAATCAATGAGGGGGAAAGTGATAGGGCATGGTGCTAATAAAATGAAAAAGAATGGCAAAAATACTAAAGTGAACACACAGCACAGTCAGAACAAACTATACATAACATGTAAAGCAGGAAGATACAGTACCAGGGAAAACCATCCCAGCCTTTGGGCCAGGCCCTGAGCACTCTCAGCTTCCAAGCACTTTCCATGGCAGGTGAGGATGCTCAGTCCTGAGTGAATCTGAACTTCTTACTGAAAAGGTTTACAGAGAACTGACACAGGAATAGTAAAGACTAATTGTAGTTTAATAAGAGGCTCATGCATCCTCACATTAACAGATGACAAGTTCTCAATATGCTTTTGCTCATGGCTTGGAAATAGAGACGGTGATTTCCAAAAAGCAGGACAAATGCAGAAAAAAATACTCAAAATATAGATTAATTGATCTGTATTTCTGCATTAAGCCAGCAAGCATTTGATGTTCATTTTCAAGAACTCTGTTGGTTATAGGCCTTTTGCATTATATAGGCTTTAATAATCCAAACAAGATTTGGACTAGTATAGATTTCTTTACAATCTACTTCAGTGGAATGCCACAAGGACTCGCAGTGCCTTGGAAGGCTGAGATGCTGAAAACCATTTTAAACAGGACTGAAGAACAGCCAAAGTTAAAATACTTCACAACGAAATAATACCTCTTGCAAAATACCACGATTTTACTACTAAGAAGCTTATAATATAAATTTGTATACTGATAAAAGCTACTTGCTTTTCAAAGTAAGACTCATGAAGCTATTTTGGTAAGTAAAACCAAAGCAACTTTTAAGAGTATATTTAAGGAAATAATGAAAATGGAAGCCACAAACCTTCTGAGAATACGTATTAAATCAGATTACCACAAACAGAGGATGCAACAGAATGTGATGTGCAAGTAAGCAATTCATGTAAATAAAACACTGAGAACATAAGCAAGGTTATTTTTTTTTTGCTTTTAGACTTTAGACAAAGTTATTAACTTGGGCAACAAGAATGAAACCCTCGACTCAGTGTCTCCAGATGCCTGCAAATCAGTTTCTCTGTGACATACTCTGAATGTACAGCTTGCTAAGGCTCAAGAAGGCCCACCAGCAAGTGTTTTACAAATCTAAGTAAGCCAATCACAAGTTGCAAACTGCATCATTTGTAAAAGGGAAATAAGGATTCATGGAGGCAATAGTTTTGGGAAACAGTAAATACTGGTGGCAAAAGAACAGTAAGTTATCACCATCCGAGCTTCAGGGCAAAGCTTTATGTGCTGACATGCTACAACTATGTGCTGCACTGTTAAACTACACTCATTTCAGGCATATCTCACTGATTTTGATATTCATAAGAGAGCAACCAAAAGCCAAATGCAGCCATTCTTTTGTTACTAGTGTCTTACTAATGTTTGACCATGACACTTACAGGCATCTCGAAGAAAAGCCATCACTGGAGCAGCCTGTTGCAAGTTAAAACCTCATCCCTGCATCATAAACCTGTACTGTAGCTACCAAGTTGTAATTCCAAAGACTGGAAACAAGTGGACCATGGCCACTGTACTGTTGGTGACAGTTCACAGGATTTTAGCCAACTGTATCACTTGCATTTTTTAAGGTGTAATGATTCAGAATATCAACACCAGGCAGAGGGAATAGGATGTAAGAACACATAAAGGTAAGTACCTTGAAAAGAAGATATGGACAAGAGTGTTTTGCTCTGGTTAGAAAGGGGTTATGTTTTTACACAAGTAAAACAAGAGACATTTGAGCAACAAAGTTCAGTAAAGTCACAAGCTTCAGGGCTTGTTAAACCTGGAAGGCCATGAAGAATAAGGTAACAAAGAGAAGGAAGTCTGCCTGAGAGAAAACTGTGTTCCAAGCATTTTGCCTTCCTAAAATCCAAACAACGGAGGGAGAAGGGGCACAGGAATAATATCCATCTGCAACTTTAGCTTCAGAGTTTTAGAAAAAGCAGAGTTTAGAGCAGAATAAATGAAACATGAATTGTTGCATTTAGCAGTTTAGTGATTTTAAGTCAAATTCAGCTTGTATTAGAACTTCAGTAGCTTACATTTAAAGAAAAACCAAATAGACAAGCCAGTGTGAATACTAACTGTGTGACATAACTAGAGAAGGTGTTTTTAAGCACTGGATGAGAGACTCAAGGTCCTGGGAACCTCAACTCATATTAAAAAATATTTTAAAAGTACTAAAAAAGAAGAAGAACAAACAAACCAAAACCTCTGCTATGAAACTTGGACTTTTTTGCTTTCTTTACTTGCTCCTTTGACTATTTTTTCTTTACATTTTGTTAAGGTCCTTAAAATGAAGTTGCAGATAGTTCTGAAACAAGACAGGACCTATGCCATGACTTGGATCATCTTACCATGAGTACAGAGCATATAGTTCAGAGTGAACTGAAGAAAAAAAAGTGTTGTCTGCTGCTTTCTACTCCATAAAATGACCTATTTATCATTACCAGCTAACTCTATTGTGAGCTAAAAGGTGAGAATTACCTTCCCATTTGTCACCATCAGACACATTCTTCAGATCTAGGCGTGGTACTTGGACACTCAGAGCTTCCTCAGAAACATTAACGTTGCCATCCCCTGACATCTCTGAATCAGTATTTGCATTAAGATCACAAGTCTTGTTACTTGAATCCTGTGTTTAAACAACAGAACATGATGATCATTATTTAGCAACTGGAAATGAGGTACCCAAACAGTGCCAGATCCAGCACTGCTGGGAATTTACTGCAAGAAGAGTTCTTCTTTCCTAACTCAAGGAATTACAAACAATCTTCTCACCCCCAACACTAGTTAATTACAGAACATTCCTCACACAAGACGCATAAGCTTGCTCTGCTGCCAAAACATCCTGTGATGCAAGATGATGAGATCTCAAACAAAGGATTTACAAGTCTTGCAGCAGCCCAACCAACATCAGATGTTAAAACCTAAATTTATTGGGTTGCTTCCCATCTGCATTTCATGTAAATGAACCTGTATGTAAATTAAACCATAATCTTACCAGAAACATCTCTGAAGATATTCTATCATTGCCACCAAGCAATATACTATTTTCCCTAAAAAGAAGAAACAGACCTAGTTATAATTTTAAATGCAAATTCTTAATGGACAGTAAATACTATACACTCTCCTTACATTTTATTCTTACATACCCTAGACAAGTTTTAGCAGATATGCAATGTATTTCCTTAAAGTGATAACTAAAATTGTGGGGAGCAAAAGCAACATTGCTCCCCCAGCTTTTGTTCTTCACACAGAATTTTAAGCTGAAGCAAACAAGCAACAACTGCACTGGAAATAAAACCAGCTCAGACCCTTATTCTCAAACTCAATTCAACTCAAACTGTGATTTCCATCGTGCTGAACTCAAACTGCAAATGAATTTAAAGCTTTCAGGCTAGTCACTACTACCAGCATGAATTCTTTAACCATTAAGAGCAGTAAAATGTGCCAAAATATTTTAAAGCAAATAACTTCTTCTTTGGTTTCTCTTGCCTCAAAAAAGCCATGATAAATATCATATAGGCTTGTACTTACTATATCTTTTACATAGGAAAGTAGCTCCCATCTCACTCCCTATGTTTTCACACATGAAAAGTTGTATGTTTAATTTCAACTCCCTCATCTTATACTGTGTTGTCACAAATCACAGCTTGGTACACTTAGGTTTCAAAACTGACATTACACATTCTGCCATGTCAGTGACTAAAGAAACATACATACCCTTCACTATTATTTTCTCCATCAACATCTGCATCTTCATCACATGTTTTCAATAATACATCTGCAGCCTGTTGGCAAAAAGTATGTTTAGAAAGATTTGGGAATGGCATTCTCAGCTGAAAACATATCTGTAATCATCCCTGGCCACAAAAAAAAACCCTCAAGAACTAAAAGCACAGCTGCTTATGTGATGGTGAAAATCATACTTTTTAACCAAGCAATATTGGTCATACATATAAATATAACCAAGTAAGGTCAGTAGCCAAGTGTTTTAGTCCCTAGGAGACAGACAATGACTTTTTGCCTTCAGACAAACCAGTTTTATCATTTCTTTTAAATATTAACACAAACAACTCTACTGCAAATTGTCAATCACAGCATGAAGCTTGGGATGACTAAAACCATGGCAGTAAGTATATCCCAGTCTTGAAAATAACAGTTGGATATAGACTTGTGCTCAGTATATATGAAATGAAACAAGTCTGACAGACTTTCTGCCTGTCAGAAAGGAGCTACTAATCCCTGTTGCTAAATAAAGCAGCAACAGAACTGGAAGGGGATGAAGAAACATTGGCATTTCTGTGACACCAACTCACAAAACAAGCTCAGATGAATACATGTCACTATTTTGTTCAGTGAAGTTGGCACAGGAAGACTAACAACTTACTTCTGTCAAAGCCCTGTACTAGATTGCTTCAGGATCTTATATGCCATTTTAAATATGAGATTTTAAAGTAACATTACATTTGGTTTCAGACTTTAAGAAGCTCTCAAGTGATCTTTAAAATGTCTGAACATAAAGTTACCTCAAGAGTTCAAATAGAACACTTGCCAGTTCTACACTGCTGATAGTAACATTCACCCTTATCAGACAAAACTCCATTATCTATTTACATGGTTTCAGTCCTCAAGACACATTCCAATTAGGGGAAACAATTTTTAATCACAGTGCATTTGTCATACTCCATCAGGTAATGTGCACCCTGGAGATGTGCTGTGCACGACTTGCATAGTCGCACTTATTGTACTTGTGGAAACACCTGCTTCTGTTTCTATTTCAGACTCAAAGGAGAGCTCACGTGCTCCTTTGTTTCCTACAACCTCACATGCTCCTATCTCCTTTCATACAGAAGAATCAGTGTATTTCCCTTTCACACCTCCCTGAAAGATCCAACTCCTATAGCATTTGAAATTCTGCATTAGCAAGAATGTAAAAACTAACATCAACAACCCCAAAACTACATCAAGTACAACAAAAGGGCATCCATACATGACCACATGCCCCTAAAGCATCATGTTCCCCTTTATATCCTTAGCATGGTAATGAATTTGGAACTCTGAAGCTCACATAGTTCCTAAGAAGTATAATTCACATTTCTCATCTATTCTGCAAAACCACAGAAACCACATAAAATGCACTGAAAAGCCACCAATTTGCACCAATTTTCGGTTCTCCATCTACATTTGTATTTTGTGAGTTTTGATTCCTAAAGCTCAACATGTATTTTAACTGGAAGAAGCAAAGTGTTAGGAGTTCACATGAGAAACTCACTCTCTATTGCTTTTGAAGGCTTTCACTGGCAACACTCAAAACCTACTACAAACACAAGACTTATGGCAGAAAGTACTACGCTGTACTGACAACAGAGTTCTTGCAAACACTGGATTCACCTGAACTGGATAAACCATCATCTAATTGCAACACCATCTTTTGTACATTTTGTGCTCTCGGATAATAACGTTTTATAACAAGATTTGGCACTAATGCATCAGGAAAGAGCCCAGACGATCGATACATCCTCTGAAATTCTAATTTACAGAATGGGATTCTAAACCAATATGTTAGTTTAGTGACAACAATTGACAGGTTTGGCTTGTTAGGAGATTCCAGAGTCATTTGGGATCCATGAAAGCAAACAGAAGGCTGAGAGAACACAATGACAATAGCAAGAAGTGCTACAGCAACGTTTTGTTTTAATGAAAAGCTAGACTCCAGACAAAACTCACTTTCACTACGCTAGGGCATCCATTTCTAGCTCTTCAAGTTCACAGACCCATTAAATTCTTCCAGTTAATTTAAGTCTCCTAACAATAGGTTTGCTTATCTGGTTATCTTTCAGGAAACCCTCAGAAAGATTTATGGGCTCATGGTCAAGAAGCTAAAAATCATTGTAGGAAGTTCTCTCTACACATGAACAGCAAATCTCCTGCGGAATTCATCATTCAGATTTATGACAACCAAAGTTTTATCAAATAAATAAGGAAGTATAGACTTGAATTTTTCATTAGAAGTGCTTATTTGCCAGCTGTGTATGTGCTGTTCATACAGTGGCAGAAACCATATTCTCTTGCATATTGCTGTTATACTTGATTTCATTTTTGTCAGCAAATATTTGATAGCATTGTCGGATCACATAAAGACACCCTGAATGAGGGACTGATGTCTGCTCACTAATACCAAATGCTGCTACAGTTCAGGCCATCATTACAAATTCAGGCCATACATACTACGAACCTTCACTCTGGATTGCACGTGAGGATCTAATAATCTGCAGCTCAAAGCAAAGCTGGTGCATGTTTGGTGTACACGGTAAACAATTACTTCAGCATTTCCAGTTGCTACAATACTGGGCTTCCATTCAAGCTGTATTCAATACTTGCTTCTTTCAGTGATATGAAGCTGCTCAATTCAAGCATAATATATAAAAGCAAAGTCAAAACTGCATCTATGACACCTGATTAACCTGTGGTCTGTTGTTGACATTTTGCAGTTGTTTTCTGAACTTTAACAGTAACTTCAAGTATCCTTAACACTGTATTTTCCAAGTCAAACCGTTCCTAAAAAGTACAGCTAAGCATTTTATATTTACAAGCATGTTAGCATCACATCCTAGTATGTGCCAAATCTAGACAGATTTTTCTGCTTTGGAATACAAATGGTCAATCCTTACTTTTCACGATGACAATAGTAAGGGTTGAACCTTCTCAAAGGCCACAAGTCCAATCTTCTTTGACTTTTTTTGCTGAACACCTCAAGTGTAAGAGTTGGAAGTGTACACATTGGTATGGAGGGATGCAAGCTATTAGAACAGCAGAAGTCAAATATCTAAGCGAACAGGTCCAAGAAGTTACAGAACCTCTTTCAACTAGAAAGGAGATGTGGTTGAAAAGAACAGGATAGTGATGCCTACCCACAGAAGAAAGTGGAAACAGTGAGAAAGGGCTGTGATTAGCTAATTACAAACCCACGCCTTCCTCACACAAGTTTAGTCAAGAGGCTGCAGAGTCTTAAGGTGACTATTTCTACCCTTTCTTGATACAGTAAAAGGAGTGACTAACTGTGTGTGGGCTATGCCACAATCACAGCTCTACATCTTCTGCTACTCAGGAAGCCTTTCCTAACACAAGATGTTATTTTATCTGGTGCTATGCCAGCAGTAGTAGTAGTGATATGATGTAGTGCAGATACACTGACTTACCTGAGCAGAAGGAAGGGCTGGTACCTGTGAAAGACCAATAGAAAAAACATTACTTAGAGTCCCACAGCCTGCTCCAGAGTACACAAACATTCTCTGTGCATGTCCATGAAATACACACAGCAGAGAAGACAACTGCACGGAGCAACAGCACCAAGTAAGGCTACATCAGAGCTATCAGGAAAACTTGGATCTCCAAAGTGCTTTGCTAAAGCCACAGCACTTTATGATTTTCATATACAGGAAGCTCTTCCTCTCACCTGAACGCTTTCTTCTTCCTCAGTTACAGTACCATGTTTCATAGCTTCACTGTCTAAATCAGTGCAAACCAATACTTCAGAGCAGCCTCCTGTGTTCTCACTGCTACCAGTGTCATTATCTTCAATAACATCATTCCTAAGGACAAGAACAGAAAGACTTTAGCAACTCGCTGTTCCACTTTTAGAAGAAAAAAACCCAAAACACTGGAAGGTTTGGGGTTTTTTCCTTAAACAGTGTCAAACATCAGAGTTGGGGTTTTTTTTCTTCCTTAACAAAATTATTCAGACCAAAGATACTGGTATTACCTACAATCTCCATCACCTGCAGGCAAACTTAATTATTTATGTAGTTTACACATACTTCCAAGGTTTTCTCCAAGAGCATGCTACAAGACATATTAAAATGTATTTATTTGATTCTTGTATCAAGGGCCAGGCACACACCCCCCACTTATTATGCTGCCCTGCAGAATAAAAGCACCATCAGCCCCAAGCAGTAACATATTGAAACTATCAATAGTGAAGTTGCTGTGCGTATGCTCCTCTCAATACTGAAGCCAGTCAGTTTATAGCCCTCCAGTAAGAAATCCCATTATTTCTAACATTTAATCTGCCTAGAGTTCAACTTAAGGCTTGTAACAGTACAACCAGATTAAAACTAACTCACACCTTGTGTCCATATATTCTTTACATGCCACCGTCCCTGTTACCACATGATCCTGTAATTCATCACAACCCTTCGACTTCCTTCACTCAAACAAGTCTGACTTTAAATCCTTTTTCTTAATTTCAGCAATTATTTAAAGTTACTTCTAAGAAACCTGCAGTGGATCACCACGTTTTTCAGTTCTTCATTTAACTGTGTATTTGATGTGTATGTAGTCTGCTGGCAGCACTGCTTGAGAGGACCCAGACAACCTCTTTCAAGAACACTATCATGTATCCTCTATTACGGTTAATCCACAGTGGAATGATGATCAGAAGGATTTGAAGTAGTTGCTGTGCCAGGAGAGTATACTGGTTTCAGCCAGCAGTGATGGCACTTTTAGCCTCCACTGCTATGAAGTCAGCCAGCCTTTAAAGCACTTATGCTGTAACTGAAGGAACTCAGCCACAACAGGTCTTTCGGGCAAGTACCCACTTACTTACAGATTACTTCAAAGCCATTAAAACACTAACACTAAAACTCAGTTTTAATTTATCATCACCAGCAATGATTATTACTTTTACGACCAACTGCTAACTTTAGTGTGATGTTTTGTCACAGATGAGATGTCTAAAACCAGCAAGGACTGAGCAATTCAGAAAACAGCACCTGAGACTCTGAACACTTCATGTAGTTCAGGCTCTGAACAAAGGAATTCAGGTGTTGAAGTCCTACTTAAGTACACATTTTTGGAGCTGGGATATTAATCATGACTATTTATTTCTAACAAAGCACCAAAATGTACTAGCTTCTCAGTGCTGCCATGGCAATCACCACACTGGTAGCATGGCAAGATTTACAATAAAAAGAAAAGCTGATCAAATGAAGCTAAAACTCAATGTGAATCGACCCACAGTGCTCATTCTATTCATTTTTAGCTGTTTCATTGGCACTGGCAGCCAGAGCAGTAAAACAGCTATGCTGATGTGGAAAGACAGGGTAAAGAAACTGAAATAGCAACTACAAGAGCTTTCATATGGCAAAATTGTGTCGTAAGTAACAGCAGTGATCTAAGAATGAAAGCACTTGGGTCAATTTAAGTACTTACACGGAATTCAGCAGTGAAACAGTTCACAACATTTTTAGCTATAAGATTAATTTAAAAGTATTTGCTTCAAGAGCTGTTGGTTACTGACAACTCATGGAAGTTGATTTGGTTTAAAATGCGGAGATAAATTGATTCATAGCAAAACTGTTGAACAGCAAAAGTCAACTTCTGCTTTGGGTTGAGGTAGTTTGTTTTGGAAGAGTTAAGATACACAATCCTACAGAATTCACTACAGATACAACAAAACCTTACTGGTTGTTAGATCCTTCCTCATCCCCGCTGGGATCGTTGGCTTCATTGTTACAGCCCAGTCTGTGCTGCTGTATATGTTTAAGATCGTTATCTAAGCTGCTCTGCAGGTCGAAAAGATGCTGTTCCACAGCTGCTCTAATTGTTCTCTCTAAAATGCTGCAAGGAAAAAAGACAGAAGGTTCATATTAAGAACTCTCCTTTTGCATTGGTCAGCTATGCAGAAAGGCAGAGAGAAACTTTACACACAACAGGAATCTTTGGTGACAAGTACTTTGAGGCAAAAAGAGACTCATTTTTCCAGAAAGGCAGTCAAAATTACTGCACTTATCTTTTATTTCATAAGATTTACATAAAGTATTAAGAAGTCTATTTAAGAGTAATCAACACATTACAGTGACTTATTTTTCTAACAAAAGCCTAATACATTAATGTGCCAGTAAAACCCTGTGTCTATTAAGAGGTCAGAGTGAACCCTGGCACAGGTACCAGTTCACCACAGCTGGGTGCAAGCCCTCCTGAACAGGGCTGCAATCTTAACAGGCAAGAGCCACAAACAGCAGAGACAATGAGCAAGTACCTGATGAAGGACACAGGATACAGGCAAAGATACATCAAGAAACGTACTGCACTGCTTAAAAACAGTCGACTCTCTTAAGTGGTTCTCAGACAGATCATCCAAATACACAATTAGGCTTATAAGAAAATCCTCCTGTAAGATCTTAAATTATTTTATCCCATTTTTAACTCTGGAATTGTGCATTTATTTTCCCCTCACCGTTACTACACACAATTCCACTGAACTATACTCAATTAACAACTAGAAGTGGTGCTAAAATACAATGTGAATGCTATCAGGTCTTTAAAAGTCAAACTATGATGCATCCAAGCAGAAAACCAGTGTTTTAGAATCTAGATTCTACCCTACTGTGCTTTCATGCTTCTGCAGTCAACAACACTTACAAACATTTTTACTGCATTAGTGTTAAATGCAGTAAGTGAAATACTTCATGCTAGGATATATTCATTCATAACTGAAACCACCTAATCTACTGCACTTCCTTCTCTTGAAAGCAGACATATCTTCTATGCATGTTCAAGTAACAGCACAACTCAATCATTTCATGTTTTCATTATACTTACTCTGCAGAGGCTGGCAAGATACTTATGGGAGAGATGTGAGCACTGCAATAAAGAAAAAGGAAGTTAATGTAACGCAAAAACTTACCACACTAAATAAAAGTCTTGAAGTCAACAGAAAGCAACTTAGAAAATATTTAAAGACTGCACGTAATGTGGCTAATAAAATAAATATGTAAAGAAAACACTGATTTGCAGTCCCTTTAGATCAAGGAATCTTAAAGAACGCCACCATGAGACAGAAAGTTGTAGAAGCAGTAAAGCAGATTTGTCTCTCTCAGTATATTACAAAGCTGTAAGCTCTCAGAGGTACAGTCTTTCCCCATGGGAAATACTACTCACTTAGTCCCCAAAGATTTCCTGACACCTTGCTTAAGAATGCAGATTTTAGCCTTGCTGCCTAAAGCACGTTCCACATTACTCTGCTTTCCTCCACAGTTGCAATTCTTAACAGCTTCTTCCCTGCTGTCAGACTGCTGCAGAACCTTGTTCTGCAACATTCAACAGATGCGCAGCACTCTCCAAGGACAGCTACAACATTGCAAGTCCAACCTTCCAGAGGTTTTGAGGCAGGTACTAGCTGTTTGCAAAACATCTGGGAGTCTCCTAGCACAAGCCACTTCAGCCTAGAATATTAAACTCCTGGGGGGTGGAGATCAGCGTAACTAACACAGGTAAGTTAACTCATGGGTATGCAGTCCCTCAGCAGTTTTGAATTAATATGATCAAAATTCTCTTCTTATAAACAAAATACTTAACTTTTAGACAAAGAGATGATAACTATGCTAAGAACAAAATAAAAGAAGAAACCTCTACTGTGAACAGCTGTGAGGTGCAACTTTCATATCCTATTTAGAACAAAAGAAAGAAATACTAATTTTATTTCAACTAGCAGGTAGGGAGGGAAGTAAACATGCTTTTGCTTCCTATTGTATATAACTAAGCTCTAAAAGCTGAAACCCAACATTTTAGCCCACCCTTTACCGTGCAACACCACTGCTGGCACCCACAGCTGATTTTAAATATTGTTTCCATGAATACATAAGGTAAACTCTGAAATACAAAGGAGCTTCCCACTGCACTGGAGAGCTCAACAGGTACTCGACCTCTGCGAGACAGTTCTGACTGATCCCAGCCTTGCTTGCACTAAAACACATATAGTCTCTCTCCTTACCCAAGAATAGTTTTTAATGCAGCAAGGAATATCTGGGTCAGAGACTTCATCAAGTTTAGCAGTAGTTCTACCACCAGAGAGGTAAGATAATTACACCACCTCAAGCAGACTGGTTTTCTCTTCCTCTAAGCAGAGGAAACACAAACAGTAAAGGATTTCCAGCGAAACACTTGCTGATAGGAAAGTGGTCAAAGGATTTCTTTAAAAATAATGATGCCCTTTTGCCTTAGATAACTTGTACTGGGACATAGCACAGCACAGCACTGAACCACCATGGAACAACTGCATAAGCAGGTGCCCACACAAGTTCGTTATTTCTTTTCTTAATGGAAACTGGATTTTGAATCAAGCTCATTTTGATGTGTGTGTTTGCCTAGGTGGAAAACTAAAGCAGATCCATATCCAAATGCTTTCGCAGAACTGGCAGCTCTAAACTGCTGTTTCAAAACAGACACTGCTGCATAGCTTTGGAAAATTGAAACACCTGATGTAGAAGGCAAATCTTGCAGCCACTGATTTCAAAGCTGCTGGATCAAACATCTGAGGGTGAATATAATGGCACTTTGATTCTTTTCTTACTAAGAAATAGTAAGAAAAAGTTTACAACTTAATATATCTACATTTCATTGATACTTCTGTGCACAGAAGTTCAGCACAGCCCTACTACTGGTACAAAGGAAGGTCTTTGATAAACATGTTTTGGTTTGACCATACTTGAAATCACAAAAATGAAGACATGAAGCTGTGAATAAGTTCAGCTTCACAAACAAGAGAAGAGAGGCGCATGAGCAAGAACATCAGTGAATAAAACAGATTTCAGACCATATACCCTATCTCAGTATTTTCAGGAAGTTCTACATTATAAAAGATATGCTCACGTTCTAGAAGTACTAATACACAATGGCATACACTGGAATCGGTTTACTATTAACACACAGTCACTCCTAGGACAGACTGGGGGCAGGGGGGGAAGGGAAAAGAAGGCAGTCAGAGCACAGAACACTGCACTCCAGTTGTAAAAGAGAGCAAAAGAAGTAATTCAGTCAAGGGCACAAGTACAAACACTATTTATAGGAAACTGATGACCTGAAATCCTTTTATTCCCCCGCTTCAGACAACGAGGAACTGTGTCAAGAATGGGGAGAATCAAGCTTATCTCCAAAGAATCCTGAAGATTTCAGACATGCTTCACAACACAGTTTTCCATCTTCCTGTGTAACCTTCAGCCCCCAGCACAGGATCATTCCCCAGTGCTCCCTTTAGATGCACTAGAGGTACTCAGCAAAAGATGTGCATAAATCAGCAGTATTGCAAAGCCTTTACAATCCTCTTACTACATACAGGACATCTTCAACTAAGCCCTTCAGCAATTAAGTGCTTTTTGAAAGAAATGTGTCAATGGCTCTTAGGTGAAAATACAACCCAACTTCCCCACTGTGCTACTACAGTTCAAGGATACTTTATAAAAGCTGTAAATTATACTGCTACACAGAGCTGCTACACGCAGCATGACACAGCAAGACACACAAAGGTAAACAGCTTGGTTTCATAATGTTAACCCAGTCCCGAGAGCCCTTTTGCACTGTCTCCCTACCCATACAAGTCCCGGTAAAAACACACCTGAGAGAGAAAAATACATTAACCAGACAGAAATCAGTTCAAACTTTTCCTTGGTAGTTCAGAGAGTTTCTTATTTCTCATTAAAAAAAATAATCAGTTGTGACTATTTCATTTCATGAAATCCATTTGATCTCACATAATTTTCAAGTTAAATAAAGCCTTATTTGCAATCCTATCAAAGCACCGTTTTCCTTTAATATATTTACCTGTGCAGCAGAACTTTACAGGCCATTCTGATGATTTTGGCTATCCCAAACGAGCACTTCATGTAAAACTGCTTCATTTGGAAACCAGCAAAGCGTGCTGCTGGCTGCTGGCTGTGCATGCTGCTCGCCCAGCTTCAATGGCTGCTTGTCAGGCAGCACTTCTGGAGTGCTGCACTAAACCCTGCAGTCTAAATAGAAATAGACTGCAACATGAGGTCACTCCTGACAATAAGCTGCCCAATCAACACTTGAAAGCTTCCCTAACATGTTGTTGACAGCTTTTCTAGGTAGGGACAAGTATTTGGATGGTAAAGAGAACATTAAGTTAAAAGAAAAATCTATTTTCTAGCCATTCAGGCAGTTGTAACGTTTGGTCAGCTTTACTGTAGACACATTTTGTCTCGCTTTGTTGCTGTTTACTGTTATTGCCTCTCTCTCACTGAGCTAATTAGAACCAAAAAGCATTAACAAATATCTCACAAGCAGTGAGGATGTGGCCCGTATTGCACTTAATAAACTTGTTTACAGACCTTACAGCTTGTCATAATTGTCTCATTTTTACATATATAATTTTGAAAAGCCCCAAGAATGTCTCAAGAGTTTTTCCATTAGGCTCCTGACTGGCAATATTTAAGATGAACTGCAGAAAGTAAAGCAAATGCTGCCTGGCAAAGTGCAGTGATGAAATATTTGGAATAATGATAGAGAAGGATTCTAAAGTGATTATTTCAAGAGCCCATCTTGAAAGTCAGCTGCAGTGCTGAGTCAGAGATTCCTTCCTCTGGAAGTCAGGACAGCAAAACCAGGAGAGCCTGGGGAAAAGGCTTCTGATAACAGAGACTATGGTGTTTTCTTTACATGCACAATGTCAACTCACAAACACTCCCCTCTGGGGTAACGGGCTGAAAGAGCACTCTACAGGTTTATTTTAAATACCTTTTTCAAGCAGTCACTAAATCAAACTGCATTAATGATTACCCACATTCGCACCCGGTTTCTCTTGAACTCAAAGTCAAATTAACACCATGCAGTACATGAAGGTCAGGTATTTCAGCAAAACAGCACAAGTAAAGAAAAAAGGTAGTGAGTGAGGTTATAAGGAAGTTGTAGTCTAAATAACTAGAAGGAAGATCTACTTTTTTCCTTCTCTCCACAGAGACCAAAATATACAGCTAGTCCATTCCCAAAATCTGACAGCAGCAAAGAGGCAACAAAACTCCAGGTTAAGGAACTACAAGAATCATGTTTGAGATCTGCTCCTCTTCCTCTTTCCTTTATAAGCTGCTGCAGGCCCTATCCTATGTCAAGACAAACAGTCCCATAAACCTGCATTAACATTTCCTTTTTTATATAAAATAAAACAAAGAAAGGCCATTAAATACATACTATGAAAGCCTTTAAGTCTGGAAACATACTTATTTATGGTGGTTAGAAGTTTAATAAAGCACATTGTCTCACTCTGTAATTGTATTTTTTTGTTTCATGTTTCCTGCAGTTGTTCTGGTTTTACAGTCACAATTCTCTTTCTTCTTCTGCAGGATTCTTCCTTATCCTTCCCCACAAATTATGGAAAATGCCAACCATAATTAAAGCCTATTAATGTTTAATTAACCCTAAACATTGAGGAAAGATGTTTTTCTCTTCAGGCTATCAAATTTAAACTCTCAAACATGTTGAGTTTGTCACTACTGCGGTGCTTCCACATTCCACAAGCAACTAAATACCTGTGAATAGCTAAATTGCTTTACAACGGTAATTGTAGAAGTTCCAATTGCAGCAACTTCTTTTCCATTTAACTCAAACCAAGATTAAGCACCTGCATTACAGACAAGGATAATGACTCAAATATAATTTCAATGACAAAACAAAAGTACGTTTCTCTCATTATTTTCTATTTTACAAGTTCCTGCAATGAAGTAGAAGGAAGCGTGCAGGCAAGCACCTGAAGAGATTCCAATCCAAAATCCACATTCTTGAGACTACTGAGTCTTAGGCAGCAAACTTATTTGTGATTTTCCCTGCATTTCTTCTGCTTACAGTCACACTTTTAATACAGGTTCCTCCTCAGCCCTCCCTGCAAGTTTCTACATGCAATGCCCATACCAATCTCTACAAAACCTGCTCCCAGCTCCCTCCCAGCAGAGTCTATCTGAACAGATCTCTCTACAGTCTGGCTCTCAGGCAGGTACCACAGGGCCCTCCAGCTTCAGCGGCCACAATACCTGTCTGGACAACATGAGACCTTGGCTTTCTGTGAGTTTTTCTAATAACCTTTTCTAGAAAGCAGTTCACAAATTAAACCTCACCTTGTGCATAGGTCCCAGTTATGTTACTCCTAGATTGATGTAACAAAGAAACATCAGCCTCTGAGATCAATTAAACTTAGGTGGCAGAGTTTAAATTAAGATTGATCTTCAGGTGTTTTACAAATACCTCAACAAGTCAACTTTCACAAAACAGGGTATCCAGAGTTTTCACTTCAGCTCATACTGAAGACACTTTCTGGACCCTCAATTCAACAACCCATGCTACAAAGTCTCATATATAACCTTACAAAACGCCATCTCTGAAGTGCTCAAAATTTTCTCCACATTACTCCTACTAAAGGCTTTTCTAGAACCTCTAAACACCAACCCAAAAATCATTAGTCAATATTATCCCACTTGTTGCTCTCCACTCTCCTTTTGGTCATATATAGTTCTCTTTTCACCCTCTCTTTTTTTCATTCTCTCTCTAGCATATTTTCAGGAAGTAATCACATCTATAGACACTTCATTACAATTGCTGAATGCAATATATTCCACTGTATGCCAGTGAAATCAGAAAGTACTTTCCCCATTTAACACCTCACCAAACTGGGCATAATAATAGAAACCTGGAAAAACAAATTCTCACAGGTTTAGTAAATAAGGAGGGTCAGGCAAGGACAGCTCTGCTCACCAGCACATAACAAGAAATAGCCCCAGGATTTCCCTCTGAAAGGGAGTGCTGGAACGATGGTTCAGAATGGGTTCACATCTAATAATATTCACATTCTTTTTATACTTCTGCTACAAAAGTCTCTGTTCAAATACAGCTTTACAGCTTCACTACAATATGCCCTTTTTCCCTTTCTCTGCATAAATCACCATAGTTAATCCAATCTGTGTTCTACAGGCACTCCTCTGCTGAATTTGGGAGCAGTTATTTTATCCTGTATTTTACTACTACAATAACTGCACCTACTTATAAAGCTTTAGTTTGTAGACACATCACTCCTCTCAAAAGCCTGACTGCTTCTCTCAGACAGAACAGACAATACTCCAACCTCTGAATCCATACACCAAGGCAGGGACAGATTACCTTGTTGATGCTGTAACACTCCTGGAATCCGAGAGACTCCCTGTCACATCTAGATGCACCACAGCTGGCCTTTCAACAGGTTTCTCTGTGCCATCTTCTGGAAGTTCTTCAGACTGCTCAAGCTTTACATCTTCCTCCTCTTCCAAGAGATCATTGATCTAAAATAGATTTAATCACAGTTAATGGCTTGAAAAGTTCTTTTAAGAGGTCCAAGGAATTAAAAGAGCATGACAGGTCTAAAAACAACGTACAAGTAAGAGGAGAACATTCTCCAGTTTTAGAAGGAGACAGGCACACTCGACTTCCTTTTATGTGAAACCATATATTCCACTTCATTAAAAAGCTACAGAACCCTTTTGAAACACTGGGCAAAAGCTGAAGAGAAGCACCTCTGATGCAGTAAATGAACACAAGCAGAATCATGACCAAAAAAATCCCAGCCACCCTGAAGTCATGAGGCACAGAACCTTTCTTCCTCCACATCTAAAACAGAGACAGCTAATTCTCCTCTATTCCATAGGAAGCCTTATTCATGCATGAGAAGCATTTTCAAACCCTTTTATGGAAAGCAACATATGAGTCTAAGAATCCAAACTTTAAAGTATTGAATGAATACTTCTGAAGGCAAATGTATGAGTACTGAGAAGCTTCCCTGAAGCCTCTTGCCTGTTTTTGTTTCTTTGTTTCCAAACACGGATGTGTTTACTAAAGCAGTAAGGTACAGGCAATTTAAAAGTAAAACTATATAGTAACTGGCACCTCCATACAGCACCTTCAGTTTTTACAAAGTAACTATGTTTAAACCATAAAAAGTTAAACACAACAAAGTTACTGTTAGACTGCAAAGCCCCTCTGTGATTGATTACTGATCTCCCAAACTTGCAAACCCAAACGTTAAAGCAGCAGCAGCCTCAAGAACATATGCTTTATATCATCTTCTGCATGAGTATAACACAAACCTGAAACTTTAGACATTTAAGATTACACAGAAGGCAGAGAGGAGGTGTTTATTTTTCAAAGGGGTGTAAAGTGTTATATGGCACTACAGTCAGGGCAAGAAACATACTTAGCCCTGAATTTCCTCTGTAATTGCAAGAGGATGTGCCAGTGACCCATGGGCAAGCCCACTCACATGGGGATGGCTGCCTAGGGGCTGCATCCAGAGGGGACAGGGCCCTGCTGTACCCCACACACTGGCCGGAGGGAGCAGGACCCAGCAGCAGTGCACTGTTGACATCTGGTGGAGACACCACGGAACTAAAGGGACACCTCACCAGGGAAAAAACCAAACCAAAACCACACATCGAACGGGCTGTTACGTTTGGGAAACCCTTGTGCTAAAACATAGAAGGACCCACAGACAAGTCAAGTAACTTCAAAAGCTTGAGAGCAGACTAACTAGTCTTTGAAGAGCAATCATGCCAGCCTCAGCTGATAGCCCTCAGCCTGGCTGCAGAAGTTACAGCCCAGCTTTATTCAACAGCTTCGTGCTCACAGCAGGGCTGTGTCAGTTCTCGGTGCTAGACACCCTCCTGCAAAGAGCTGGAGACAGCAAACCCTGCAAAGCTGCAGCACTCTGCTGCAGGAGCGAGCAGAGCAGGAGCTGCTCAATCCAGAACCTGCTGCCCACGCTTGGCAGAGCAGCCCAGTGGGTGAGAGAGGTGTCTCCTGCAGTCAAGAGGAAGCAAGCAGCTGCCCCAGGACTTGCCTTACCTGTCTTGCTAGGGGAGGGGTTTGTGGCACAGCGAGGCTTTAAAAATTCAGTGTTTCTTGTTACCTTCCTTAGCAACTGCTGTTATTTACCCTTTTTCCTCTTTAAAGAAACTACATCACCTCTTAAGCCAACTGAATATGAGAAAATTCATAGTTTATAGTTTTCTGTATTTCTGGAGAAGGGTTTGAGCCAAGATTTTATTAATAAATCCAAGAACCTGGCTTTGGTGATACAAAAATGAATTTCTTCCATCATTATCACTTATATAGCATGACTTGTTAGAATTTAAAACATCTGCCAACATCAGAAGGTTGTATCACAATACCACATTTTCATTTCCCTTACCAAGCCTCCATCTTTCTATTTATCCCAGCATGACATGGTATTTTACTGCACAAAGTCAAATTTGTTGTGAGGAAAGGCAGAAGGGTGACACTGGATACCATCAGTCACATGGAGAGGTGACTGACAAACCTGGCTGCTGAATACTGGGACCCAGAGGATTCGTGTTCTACTCATCTTTGTTTCTCTAATTTCAACACTTTTCCCCACTAATATCAACAAGATGTCTTGAAGTCTTAGAATCAGAAACACCATTCAAGAAATTCTGGCATAAGGAAACACCACTGATAACATCATCAAGTGGAGTGCGAGACCCTGCATGTTCCTCCAAGACACACCTGGATGGGTTATTGACCAAGACAGACACCAGCATGGTTCTGCATCTCACTTGAAACACAGCTTTCCAATCCTAAAAAGGTAATTCAAAAGCTGTACTGTTTAGGTAGCATATTTGTGTTGGGCAGGGTATCGTTACTGGTTCAGTGCCAGTGTATGTTTCTCCATAGCATAGCTACACAATTCCACAAGCATAACTATGTTTGGAAAACCCATTTAAGGAAATGCCACATTTTGTCAGTTTGCAAGAAACAACAGAAAGGCATAATAAAGTTATATTTCAACCTACCTTTCATGAACATGAATGTGTATAACACATATTTAAGTGGTAACATATTGCCATTTAAAACTTTCTTACCTGCTCGGTTATTGAACTTAAATCATTGGTGGATGAAAAATCTTCCTCTTCATTTTCAAAGAATTCATAGTAGTTCTCCAGAAGCCCTGCCATTATTCTGCTAACCAGTTCTTGTTCTTTCAGATCCTCCACATCTGTGTAAATGCTAAACATGTCAACACTGGGTTAGTTTAGAGATCTAAATTCAACTGTTTCCCCAAAGACTCCTGTGAATGACTTCTATGACCGAGGGCTGCACTTCACACCATTATTCCTAATCCATTCACAGAACACAGAGAACTTTCAGTGAGCCTTCACACCAGTGCATTATAAAGCTTTATTCTAGCTTATATTTAAAAGTGATAAAGTACGAACTATTTTGTCAATTAACTTTTCATGAGGAATATTTAAAGCGCAAGTATTTTCCTATAGAGGGGAATCCCCAGGATACATTTATACCAGAACAGCTTTCTCCCAGAACTCCTTTCCTGCTACAAATAGTAATCTTAGAGACTATCTCTAAAAAACGTGAACCTCAGTACAGGTACAGTAATGCAACAATCACATCAGTGGTTTCTAATGCCACAGCTCATAGACAAGCTGTTGTTTAAATCTGAGCAAAAACTAAAACAAAACTGGGGTGAGGGAGTGGGGGGAACAGAAAGAAAGATATTGCCCAAAACATATTCATAGAATCATAGAATGGTTTGGGTTGACGGGACCTTAAAGCTCATCCAGCTCCAACCCCCTGACACGGGCAGGGACACCTTCCACTAGAGCAGGTTGCTCCAAGCCCCTGTGTCCAACCTGGCCTTGAACACTGCCAGGGATGGGGCAGCCACAGCTTCTCTGGGAACTTCATCTTGTGTACTTGCTGCTGTTACTCATGGACTAGAAATGAGTTCAGACTACAGGTGTACACTGTCAAATACACACACAAACACCACATGAACTTTTAAAACCAACTTACTGAAAAACATCTGGGCCAAAGACTGCAGCTAAAGAACTCGCTGACCAGATTTCTTCATGATGAGATGCTACATTAGCTAAAAATTTACACAGAAACTTTAACAAACTGTAATTAACAGGTGGAAGCTGCTGCAAGAGGAACCTCAACTTTCTTCCAAATTCATCTTCATTATTATAATCTGGAAAACGTAATAAACATGTTTTAATCACAGGAATAAATATCGACTTTTTAACATTTAATATTGATCAATTTTTTGACTCTGACAGTCATTACTTGCTTCTGAAGTACAACTGATTGGGTCAGACCACAGCCTAAACTGTCAGCATTTGACTTGTGTTGGTTTGGTCTGAGATTCCATTACTAAATTTCTCCATGGAAAAAGGAAAAAAACCCAACCACAACCCAACAAGCAAGCAACCAGGCAAACAAAAAAACACCCCAACCCACATATCTGAAGGGTATTTACAGTGCTGGTACTTCGTAACAATCTATCTGTCCCTGCATCTCACCCTCTCATTTCGGTCTCTGGGTTAATCCCTTTTTCTCTGATCTCTCCAAGAGAGGCTGGAAACTCCTTTCCTATTCTGCCACTCTTCTTCAGTGATGTCAGAGGTTTGGATGGGTGGTGAAGAGATAGGGGAACGTAACAAAAAACCCAAACCCTTCCCAGTCTTGTTTCCATAGCGCAGAACCATCAGATTACTTTCCCTAATGATAAACTGTAAGTTTAACTTCTTCTACGAAACAAATTGAGAACCTAAATCTATAACTCCTACCATATTCTCCTCTGCAAGTCCAGTTGGTAGCTTAGCAGGTTTTCCCCAGTTAATGCTGATTACACAGGCCAGCTCCTCCATCTCCTTTCATTTTACAACTGTTGCACAATTGCTTTGCAGAAGAGCTCTAGAGACAGCAACAGCTCCAGAGACAGCAAGCTAACCTAAAACCTAAATTCTGTTTCAGACAAGCTCCTTTGGCACTTCTTCCTCCACAAGCATCCCATTCTCAGCACTCGACTCCCTTTTACAACACTTAACTGACGAACACAAGCAACCTCAATGCAATCATCTAACACACACTTAGCTTGAAGCTTGCTGATTCCATTTCAGACCAGAGAAAGGTTCACCATAAAACTTTCTCATTCTCACCCCACATTTAGCTATACCCTTCAGCAAAATATCTCCCCATCAATCTCATTTGTTACATTATAAGCCCCACAAGTAACAGGCTTCAAAGAGTTTACAATTGTTTGTACTTGACAGAGAAATTCCATATAAAGGAAATGTTGGGAAAGCCAAAATGGGAGAAAAATTGATCCTAGCAGACCTTCTCCTTTCTCAGGGATTTGAAAACTCTTTTTAGATCAGATAGAAAGAAAAGGAGACATGTGAAGACGATGAGCAGTTGCTGAGTCCTTAATATCAAGTCCAAGTAGCAAATTCCCTGTTGTTCATATACAGTAATACCAAACAGTAACCTTGTAGGATCTGATTTACTCAGACACAGGCAACACTTGTGTATTTGAATACAGGTAACCAGGCACAGAAAAATACTTCTTCCTGGAAACTAAGCTATGTCTATCAGACAGTGAAAAGGCCAAAACCTGAGTAGAGGAAACTGAAACTCTAATTTTAGTATCAGGAAACAGCATTTAAAGGTTTATGTATTTTGATTTCCTTGGTGCAGATAACTTTAAATCTTTCTGAAATCACCTTAAACTGTAAAGAAAGACAGTTAAGAAAATAAGCTTCAAGTTTAAGTGAAGCTTTTCTGTGTATTTGCTGAAGAACAACTCTTTTCCCAAAACAACCCATATGTAAATCTTCCACAGTCATCTACTCCAAGGTGAAAAAAACCAATTTTTGCACTGTATTTTACAAGTCATAGAAGGGAATTACACTGTCACACCAAGAGAGGACACCTCAATCCCACTTCCAGTCCTGATATTGCAAATCAAGGTGCACAGCAGTATTAGCTGAGCAACCAGCAGCATTCTGCGTTACTGTCTTAACCATCCTTCTGTCATTTATCATCTTTTTCAGGTTTACTAGCTACTTAGGTCCAGTGAACCAGGACATTAGCAACACAAACCAAAGAGCAGACATATCATTAATGAAATGTCTACTTCACTTTCTCATTACTCACCGGACAAACAGAACTTCAGCCTTAACAAATTTCTCTGATCAGCAGCTTCCAGAAATTGTTTCCAGCACAAGACTATTTAGCCCCTCACATCAGTGTTCTGCCTCTGCTCACCAGCTATCTAGACAACCACCCTACATTCAACATTTCAGGATATGGGGGCTAAAGGAGGAAATGAAGGGACCAACGGAGGAAAATGAAGCAGCTTCACACTCTGCAGATGACCCTCCGGTTTAGCAGTCAGTAAATACAGAGTAACAGTGTATGAAAACCATGTTATACTTGCTCATCCCACAAACCAATTCCCACTCTGAACAAACAGGACAATCACGAACGCTACGAAGAATAAACTCAACAACCAAAATGTGTATCTTCCAAAGCAGAACAAGCCCTCCCAGCACTTGAAGCAAAGTATGAACTGACACTGGAAAATGAGCAACACTCCTGCAGAGTGACAACCAGCAAACCCCTCAGTTATGTCACAGGGTGCAGAGCTCCAACAGCAACATACCCTTTGAGGACATTACTAATGAGGTGCTCCAAGACAAGCTTTTTTACTAGTCAAGTTATGAATCAACTCCAACACCACTCAACACAGCAGAGGCCAAAAGACTCAGGAGACTGGATACAGATAGACAAGCTGGGAATTGGTAAGGAAAATACTGTGCCAGCATATGGGTGTCAGTGTGAAAGGGCAAGGTTTTGCAGGGTATGAAAAAACATATTTAGCAACAACAATATGCTGATGACAGGATGGGGTTTTTTCCTCCTACAAGTGAATTTTAAACTGAAAAAAATCCACACTGAGAGAGCAAACATGACATGAGCAGAGGGCTTGAGATCTCTAGTATACAAAAGCTTTAAGTGCTACAAAAACATAGGCAGAGTAGGAGAAATTAAGAGGAAATAAGAGAAAAACAGACAAAAGCATTCCTAGTACTTTGAAGCATCAGTGGAAGATGTCACACAACTTTGATTCCAGCACCTTTAACCAGTGTCCCAACATTCATGCACAAGAACATGGAATACTCAGAACTAATCAGCATGGTATGTGGCAGCTTCACTGTTTTCTTGCATGATGGATAAACTGTGCCTCTGAATGCAGTTTGAGTTTCCTAAAAGACCTATTTATTTGGGTTTTGTGCTAAGAAAAGGTTATTTCAATGTCTCCTGATACACACGACTACACAGAACGCCAAAGACACCCTGGTGCCACTACAAACCTCCATTTAATACTGGTTTTCATTCTTAACACAGTACAAATATTGAATCAAAAATAATTATTACCTTGAGAAAGTTGCATCAAATGTATGTGCAAACTGCCAGGGATGACTGGCTCTGGAAGTTCTTGAAGAAAAAACCTAAGAAGGCTGATAGCTGAGGGTACATCTGCTTCTTTAACCAGGTCCACATCTTCTCCATTATCATATCGTTGCCGAAGCCACTCCACTGTCTCAGCGTTCCCATTGACTTGAAAAAGTCCTTCTTGTTCCAGACCCCCTGAGTTAGAAAGGAGTTGCAGAAATAAACTTCTAGATCTAGTATGGACATATATATCAGAAAATACTGATAACCAGATATGCACAATTCACATACCGACTGAAACACTTACTGGACAACAGGTTTGCAAGACTTGCAGCAGTCGTTTTCCCAGCAAATACATTCTTGTGCCCAGCTACAATACAGTAAGCTAAATGTTACAGTACCTAATCTACACCATTTCCTATGAACTATCCTGCTGAGTGCATTAGTCTTAGAAAACAGTGATAATCAAATGTAACAGAAGGACTAAAGGAAAGAAAGTGTGTATCACCAAAAAGAATTCCAACCAAACCACATACAATTAAATATAAGTAACTCCAGAAAACAAGTACTCTTCAAAAAATAGCTTACATAAACCACAATTTATTCTGTAAGAATAACAGCTCAATACATTCAAGTACAGCAAGATAATACATACCATGTTCCTCAATATAGTCCACGACATGGCGGACTATGAATGGAACCTCATTGTCTGGTTGCCCTTCTTGCTGCAGCTCATCAAGTGGAATTCCAAATATTTTGTTAGCAAGAACAGAGTTGCAGTTACTCAAGGAAGGGGAGGAGCTCTTCCTCATATCTTTTTGCAGCCAAAAATCAAAGCTGTCTTTTCTGTCAGATAAGAGGAATTAAAACCAAAAGTCATACTTCAGTGCACGCTGGTTTAATCACCTAATGCAAATACTCTTTGGTCTCTCTCAGTCTGTTGCCTGATTTAATGACAAGTTCTATAATGACTCCAAGTACAGCTAAGTAGAGAAACAGCTACAACCATGATAGATGTTATGTCCAGTCCTCAACAGAGGACTGAGAAGAACATATATAGCCGCAAAGAAGATTCAGAAAATTCTAGTTACAACATAGCTACTTAAGTCCTAAGGTGCTTCAGGAGAGATGGATCTTCAGTATGTTTCCTGACAGCATTTATCAGTCAGGCTTTGAAAACCCAACACAAAAACCTCCCAAGAGGAAATGAAACCAGTGGATCATACCAAACCCTTAGGTTTTAGTTACATGAAATGATAAAGTATTTTGTGGTACACAACCGCACTGCAATCAACTTCTAATATATTCAGCATTTTCTAGTCTATACAATAGAGCTTTCAACACCTGCACCAAATTAAAAATTTTAATAAACATAAACCCCCAAAACTAGTATCTAGATGCTCAGCGATACCATTTTTCCCACCATGCAGAAGCTCAAGCTTTCCTTGCAAGTCTTTGCTTGATAAAGGATCTAGGTAGATAACAAAGGCATTACCAAAGACAGTGTAAGTCTTTCAGTTAAACTGTTATCCTGTCAAAACCAAAATATTTCTTCTAGCAAAGAAAAACCTGTCTTTGCAAAATAAATACTCAAAAAGAAAACATACTTGCTTAAATGCAAGCAGTCACTTTCACAGAGGATGGTGCAGAGACCACGAAGTACAGACTGCTAGTCAAAGCACTGCAATCAAACTTAATCTGTTTACTAAGGAATTGATAAATTCTAACAGATGAGACACCCTGAAATCCACACTTCCTTTTCTTAATAGCTTGAGTAAAGCAGTTGAAGAAACCCACCTCAGAGTACTTAAACAGCCGAGTTTGAAAAACGTTTTCTGCGCCAGCTGCCCTCACTGACCAAGCATTCTTTTGTCATTTATGGTTGTTTAAGATTATGGCAAAAGATCAGCCTGTAGTTCCTCATTGAAGAATAGCAGAACTCGATCAGTACTTCAGCAGTTAATCTGAAAAACCAGGAAAATATTATTAGACCATAAAGCTTTCAACAGTTTTAAACTCAGTCACAAGTCTAAACATCGTGTTTGAGGAATTCTCCTTGTTCAAGCATCAATTTCTTGTTCTGATCAAGAAAGCATAAAGACCTCATCACACAAAAAAGCACATCCCTTTTTTCACTTAGAAGTTAACCAAACTTAAAGAAGCCTTAGCAATTATGAAATTATTGCCAAACTCATTCATTCTTCTTCCAAAGAAGCACAAAGGGCTAAGTAGGTTAGAGAGAGTGTTTTATAGTACCTGCCATACCAAAACATTTCATGGCTATAAAGTTTTTAGAAGGATCTCAGGCACTGGCTTAACACCCATCTTTAAATGGCATGACCAAACCCGAAGTCCTAACTAAGGAACACAGAGAATCAACCAGTTTTCAGTCGTACAGATCTAGGAAGTTGATTATGTGTCCTAACTTCCAGTTCAAAGCCCAAGTCATCCTCAGATCTGGATATAGGAAATAACTTCCCCCAAATTAAGATTCCCCTGAACCACCCACAGTTTTGCCACTTTTTAGAATCCCAGCTATCTGGACATTTTTCATGTTCTCAGCTCTCAAAATAGCTACAAACCACAGCAATTGCCTTCTGGTCTTGTGTGGTACTGAACACTTAAATTGCAGCTTCATGACACAGTGGAGCTGATTTAATGCCCAGATACAGTCAAAGGGTCATCTCAGCTCCTTAATCTCACCCACTACCTGTTCTAATTAAACTCAAGCAACCGTAAATGGGCAAAACCAGCTTGAAACTTACAGGTACACACACACAAACAGAACACACACCACCAAAGCTAGACAATAAAAAGGCTTTCCCTGGCTTTAAAACCTTCTATTTCCTAATTTGGGATCGATATGAGTATTCAGCTGACAGACTTGAGAAAAGTACTTTCCCTCTCTTTGTTCCCCCACACTGGCTCTTGCTTCTATTCCACATCAGAACAAATCTTCATCTTCACTTTCAAAGTCCTGACACTCACTACTCTCATTTCAGTACTAAAATGCCAGTCCATTCCCTAGCCTTTATACCAGGAATCCAGAGCCCTTCCAGTAGTTTGAAAAAATGACATTTGCCTGCTCCAAATCCTCCCCACACTTGCACCCATGTGTTAACACTGAGCTGACCATAAGCTCTATACAACACTGCTTCATCCTCCCCAAAATCTTGCACTGAGGCCTAGAAGAGAAGAATATTTCATGCCTAAAAACCTTTAAATCTTTGCCTAATGATGTAAGCAATGCCGACCAATATTCTTTCCTGTTCTTTGCCATCTGTCTCTGTCTCTTGTATTACAGACAGGCTGTAAATGTGTTACGTGTCTCACACAAGTGAATCCTGGTCTGAGATCAGGTCTCCAGGTCAGCTGAGAGTAGAAAATGAAGCGATACATTCCGGTCAACAAGCTTTACTCTCCTTTTTTAACCAATCATGTTCCAATCTGTCATTGGGTATTCTTGGTTACAAGAAGATCCTGCCAGATTTCAGCCCTGAAGCAGTCACAGTTCGTGACTGTTCTGTAACTTATGAAGACACTGGCCAGCCATTTTTCTTATCATTTTGGTATATTAAGCCACAGTCAACACAGTCTTTCCATGCAAGTAGATTTCAATCAATCCCAACATATCATGCAACTTTTAAAATCTGAAGACGCACACAGTCTATTTTCTGAAGTTCTACCGAAGTCAACCACTTATCCACAAGGAACCAGACAGACTCAGGGGAGTTAATGGCAGCTGAGGAAAAACCTTTGATGGATCTGCCACAATGCTCCCGGCACAAACCAACCAACCAGCCTTCAAATAAACATCAAAACAAGCACCACCTAATAAAAAGAGCAAATTAGAAGCAACCACTTCTTTATAATTTAGCACCAAATGAACAATCTTGTGGTCCAGCTTCTTTAGCAAAGACAACTTTGTGCTTAGTTAGCTGACATAAAAGCACTGCCATTTTCACCAGGCGCTGCAGACAAATAGGCTACCTGAATATTAACTTCATTCAGGAGACAGTAAAATAGAAGTCTTTCTGTTGTTGTTTTTTCACTAGCTTGGCAACGTAACAATGAAGTCAAAACAGCCTGGTTATCTCCTTGTTACAGCGAAACCGGATTTACAACCTAAGCTCACACTTTAAACATATTTTTATAGGGCTTATCATCATTTATAGGCTATCACCTATCACTGAAAGAAAGGCCCAGAAATCATTATATATCTCCTCTTCTTATATTGATCAACATCTTTCCCACTTGCCCTTGACTCAAGATGTCCATCACTTCAATGCAGACACGTATGAAAACTAGGACAAGACATAGAAACATCAATATTACTTCTAGAGTCTTTTACAAACACTAAGCAAGCCTGTGGGGGGGTTTCTGGTTTTGCCATGATCAAACATTCCAGAAAACAAGAGGTGATCCTTTCAACTATTTGCAGTTTTGCCCCTATTATCCTGACCCTTTTGAACATGTGCTTCTCCCTCCCAATTTCACAGCCTACACAATTCACAAGTCCTATCAAGAGAAACATAGTAATTAAAACAACACAACACACCAGCTTGTGCTTTATTTGACGTATTCTGGTTGCACCTTTCTCATCTACCTCTCGCCTTGTTACTACAAACACTTGCAAAGATCCCCTAAGCTACAGTGATGTTCTACAAAATGTAACTACAGAAAAATAAAATTATACCTTATTGTGACCATATATGAGACCATAATTTTACAAGAGGCTGAAAAAAACCCATGTCCTATGCAACATCTCCAAGCACCTTAAATGAGGGTAAAATACCCGAGTTTCATTCCGTGTATTTCAGTGCTCTCATCTGTTATTGGAAAAGGGGTTTTGGAGGGGTTAGGGTTTGGGGGTTTGGGGGTTTTATGTTGTTGTTAATAATAAGGCAAGTACCAGGCAAGAGTCTGCTGGGAAAACAGCACCACAAGTCTCATTTTGCCATCATAATAGCATTCACTTATCTTGGCAACCGAAGAAGTATTCACACCCACATATGAAATGCCACTAAAGAAAACACAGAATACATGGCTAACTGTTAGTATCTCAGGAATACATATGAAAGTTTAGAGTTAAAATTAGCTCAGCTTTTTACATTGCCGGCTAAATTACAAATATATGGGTGTCTTTTTAAATTAAAGTCCTCAGGGCTCCACCACCTTCCCTTAAAGCAAAGGAATGAAACAAGATAAAAAAAAAGGCTACAAACTGAAACCATGCCATAGGAATGAAAACATTCATCTGCCTGCAGAATTTCTGCCACAAGTCTCAACTATTTAAGCAATTCTTTTATTTGCTTGTTTTATCTAGCAAGAAATTCGTATCATCTGTGAAGCCACAACCAAAGCTAACAATGTCTGCCATTCTGTTCTCTTTTTAGTATATTATTTTGTGGGATTAGGAGACATCAGTGATTTATTTTTTTTTTTTTGGTAACATGAAAAGTAAAAACTAAATATAAGATTTTGAGATAGGGATAAAAGTGTTAAAGGGCAACTGCTTGCCCCTGCTTCTCAGGAAATGCACCTTGAGACTGGCTTTTTCAGTCCGCAGTGCTGTATCCTGTCACTCACCCACATGCCCTCACACCAGCTTCCAACAGAACCCATGCACATCCTCCTCTACAAGGAGGATTGTTCCTGCAAGGCAGGGAGGTTTAGTTACAAATAACTGCCACAAAAACGTTAAGGTGTCTCCAAGCTTTTAATTTTGACTCTATATTTGATAATATACTATTTTTATTTATGTTACTTACATGACTTTCTTATAAGTAGCCAAAATCTGTGATGCCCCTCTGGATGCATATAGTAAACATACTTTAAATGCAAATAAAGAGGGGGTTTTTTCAGCTAAATTTGAAATGTTCAAAAGTTGTAATAGATTTTAAGAATCTCAATCTGATGGCCTAAACTTACAACAGAGATTCCAACCTGGGGTCACAGAAACTTTCCTCATGTAGGAATATCACCTAGAGCCAGCTGCCAGCAAGAAGGTTTGCCTGGGACACTTTGGTGTACCAGCCCCCTGTAGAACACTCGGCCCCATTTGGCAACTGCTACAGAGTACTTAATTTATGGCTTTGAAAAATGACAACCAGCATTCTTCCCTTTGCTCTAAAGTTTTAGCAAGATAAATGGAGCCTTCACTCATCTGATTTTCAGCTTTTGTTCAGCTAATAAGTAAAAACAGAGTATTTTGCTCATTTGAATTAATCCAGTTAAAATTGTAAGATGGCAGGTTGGGGCAGGAGATACAGCTTAGAGGAAAATCAAAGTTAAAAGCCCTTAAAAACTCCCATCCCAAGCTCTTAGCAAACAAACAGAACACTACCACAAACTCAGGACATACAAAAGGACAAACACTGCTTGTCTCAAGAGATTAGCTGAAAACATGCAGAGCTGGGCGAGTGCTTGAATATACAGACACACAGAATATCCTTCATGTAAAAAGAACCATCAATTTCAAAGCAACATTTAAGTATTCATTAATATATGAGTAGTCAAAACAAAAATTATTTAAGGATAGATGTTTTAAAACCAGAAGATTATCTTAAAATAGATTCTTAAAGCAAGATTTGCTCTTTCCAACTGTCAGGGAAATCAGCTATTGGAAGGCATTTTAGTCAAAAGTCTAGATTGGCAGATCAGACAATTGGGCTCAGCTGTTATTTCAAATTTCACAACCTGGACTTCTTAAGAATTCACTCGTCATCCCCATGAAGGCAGAATGTTTTAAAATAAGTGTAACTACAGCATTTAACTCACAGTGTTGAAGGAAACCATGTCAGAATAAATGTCTTTTCAAGCGTGTTCGACTTCCCTGCTGCCTTCGTTTCTTAGCATGGTTGTTAACTCTTCACTGACATGCCTGCTTTCTGCTTAAATAAGAATTAAAAAGCAACAACCTTGTGGCAGTTTCGCACACAATCACAAAAGGAGTCAGCAGAAGC